TTTTTAGGAACGAGTTCATAGTGTCACATGCTCAGAAACTGTTGTCTAAAGTAACTTTTCATTTTACTTAAATGTAATTCTGTGACTTCAACGGGATAATAGCTTAAATTTCTTTTTCTTAGTGCGGCCTTTTGGTTTGGACTTCAAACAGTTTTAGTAGCTTTAAACTTTTTGGGCATGATATGTAAATAACATTCAAATGTGTCCTCTGAAGGGATTTTAAAAACTAACTGGTGGGTGGGGAAGGCGTTCAAAAAATCCCGAGTGTCAGAACAGTGTTTTTAACTATGAAGCAGGTTTTATTTCACAGGAAAGAAAAGATCTGAAGCATAAACCATGCATGCCTGTTGGTTCTTTCTGAAAGGGCTAATGCGGTATCTAATCACTTCCCACGGCCGAGCTCGCCAGGATGATCTCTGGGCACCGATGCCTGGGTTGGATACAGTGGGTTGACCTCACCCAAATTTAGGGACGGCAGCAACACTTTTTCTGCCTAGTACTCAGTTTAAAGTTTTGCTGCAGGATTGTTCTCTTGTTGAGTAGTCTTGCACATTTGACAATTCTTACTGTTTCCTGATGTGTCACTTTGAAGTTGAGACTTCTTTAATCTGGATGTTTTTTTTTCTTTGCTGAGGCAGATCTCTATCTGTCACCAGTGTTGGTCGGTTTTATGGCCTAGGACTGAGTTAGTGCAAAAGGAAACGAATGAGTCACCCGCAGAGCTTGTCAGCAGGCTGGGAGGGAGCTCCGCCGCGGGGGTGGATAGGGTGGAACAGTAAAATTTTTGACCTCACCCCTCTCTAGGCACGTGTCATTCTGAGCAAGCTTCCTTCAGAGAGCGTTCAAGAATTTTTTTCCAAGAATGTTAGTTCCCAAGTTTTTTCTCTGTTTACTAGGAGAGAATGTCTTAGAAAAGGTGGTTACTTCAGTTCTTTCTGATGCGCAATTCCGCTGTTTTAAGGCTAATTTTACAGGTCTTGGTGAATTCTTTCACTTGAAAAGCACCTTGTGCTGCAGAAGAAACAGGACTTTTTGATAGTGTGAGGATAGAGTGTGGGTCATGTAGGAAGGGGAAGTGAAGTGTGACGTACGCACGGTGTCAGGAACAGCCTGGCTGGGCTGCAGCATTGTATGGGAATGGTGGTCTTTATGGGATCGGGTTGTGTACCGTCAGCGTGCTGTGGTGCTGATTTCACGTGTGTAAGTGCAAATCACAAGAAGGTTTTATAGAAGAGGAAGGATTCAGCGGCTCGTGACCTAAGTTCGTTAACATTGAATGTAGATTCCCACTTACAGGAGCAAAATTAGTCAAGATGGTTTGAAAATACTGGTCTTCAAAACACTGAAGTGTTCTTTTAATACTGACTGACAAATTAGCAGGCTTTGCTGTGCATCCTGTGCACTGGGTTATTTTGAAAGGTGATCCGAGTGACCTTTCCAAAGGTATCTGTGTTTTGCAATCTCTGGAAGCTGCAGCTGTTGCAAGCTGTTTCGCTGTCTCAGTGTAGCTAAGGCAGCACTTTTGCTGCTGTGTTTGGAAGGAGATGGTGGAACTAGGAATTCCTTATGATGTTATTACTTGTTTTTCATTAGACCTGTCTCCCTGAACTTGTAGAGGCTTAACAAAGAAGAGCAAGCGCCTTGCCGTATTGAAGTATCTAATTTAGGAGTCAATGCAATGATAGACGAGGGAGGCAGTGGAAGTGAATATTGTAGGTGTGTTGGATTTTTACTTAGGGCCATCTGAAGTGAAGTTTCTGTCAAGTCAGGAATTCATTTAACTGTTCTCTCTTAATTAGTTAATCACCCTGATTTATTTATGCTAGTTAATAGGACTGCTCCTTGCTTACGTCTTAAGCATATTCGTGCACGTTCATCGTATTTGGAAAGCCATTCTTCTCAAATTGGCCTCATTAGGCTTTATCAAGCGCTCTCGGTGTGGATGGCAGGGTGAGCGTGAGAGTGGGGAGCTCACGGTGCTGTTAGTTACATTAGCCCTGTCTGTAGGTGCAGAGCCTGTCACAGCTCACTGAACTTGGCTGTGTAGATAGGCATCTTGATTGATGATTATTCCTTGATAATTAAGTTAAACAACATCAGGAACTGACTCCCAAGCATATCGAGTTCTTTTCCGATGCCGGGGTGGCTGTTGCTTGGCTTGTTTGTGCTGCTGTCTCTGCTTTTTCTCCTCCTCTGGTTCCTGATGGAGCTATTGCATCTCATTCGTAGCGTTGACGTGTTGGGTACTTCTGCTCCCTGTCTGAGGCCAGCCACATAAAACATGTTGTAATTTTTTGGTTTCTCTCCATGTGCTATCTCACTTTCTAAGTATAAAAAGTTGAAGGTTAATTGGCTGAAAAGTGATTTCTTGTTTTATGTTGTGCATAGACCTAGTTACTATTTATTGTCGTCAGTTTGATAGTGCTCCGTTCTCTTGGGATTTTGAAGGGCAAATTTGTTTGCTAACACAGGGAGGAAGAAATTTTAAAGTATTTACTTGGAGATCAGAAGTTGTAGACAATAGGGTTTTTTCCTGTTTTTCATTTTCTTAATTAGAAGCCTGGTTTTTCCTTTTAAATTTAGTTTAACAGCAGTTGAAAGTCATGGGAGGAAGGGATGTATGTGTCAGTAACCAAACTTTTAAAAATAGGGTTGTGAGCTACATAAACTTCTTATCCTTCTGGAAATAATTTTTCAGACTTAAATACAGTGCTTTACGTTTTTAATCACTCCTTAGCTATTAGCTAATTAAATGCTTCAGTAGTATTCCTTTGGGGAAAGTAAGATGGTGTCATTCCTATTCTGCAGATGAGTTGAGCTACTGAAAGTGGCTTGGCCAAGGTCAGACCGCGAGCAGCTGCAGATGTGAGAGTAGGACTTGAGCTGGTGACTGCCCCTACCATACTTAATTTACCGGAACATGTCATCTCCACGTGTCCTTTCTTAATGACTTGGTAAATAGTTTTTACAAAGGACTTTTAAAATAATTGGGATGAAATTCCCTCTTTGATTTGCTTGAGGGAGGAGAAGTGTAACCGTAATGACCTGATTTGATACAACTCACAGTGCGTATAGCACTGGATGAGGCTCTTCCAGCCATATTATTGGTGCTGAAAAGACAAATGTTTAAAGGGTTTGTTTAAATATGACATGATAGCTCTTCCCCTCGTGACAGTGTACTTCGTAATGCTGTAAGCCTCTGGTACTCTGGATCCAAGTTTTGATCTCCTGTGCCGAGATCTGCTGACCACTGGTTTTATTTAAATGACCTTGTCGGGTCCTAAAAAGTTAGTTGTGAAACTCTTCCTGTAACGTAGGTCTGCAGGTCACTGTCCAGGACATGTGTGACTGGAGCGTGTGTTTGAATTGGGGAAAACCAAGCCAGTATTTGCCTGGAAACAGACTTGCTTGCATCAAGTTTTACAGGTGTCGGACATGTGGATGCTGTAACTTTAGTCGTTCTGTTCCTGGTACATCGTAGCTATAGCAGACTGTAATACATTTTAACATATCCTCTGCTTTGAGATTCGGTAGTATAGATGAGAGAGTTGTGACAAATGTGCAAGAATTGACAAGTGTAAGGACTTGAATATAATGTGTTTAGATGGGACTCTTCCATCTGGGGTGAGACTTAATCTTGTAGTCATTACACTGATAAAATATTCCAGGATTCATTTTTGAAATTGGTATTTCAGTCACTCAGTAAGAACTGCGTTAGGGTCGGGGGAGGTTGTTGAAAACATCTTTGTTCTTGCCTCTGGCAACCAAATTAATGTATTTCTTTGGCATTGAAAGCTGTTCTTTAAGGAAATAATTGCTGTTCTTTGAGTGATTTTTGACTTCATGACAGTGAAAAAGGTAGTTTTGTAGTACTTTGACGTAGCGTGAGGATCTCATTAAAATATTGAGCACACCAGAAGTTTGGGGTGTGAACTTCCATGCATGTGTGTGTTTTCCCTAATTGTGTTCAGCTGAGTGTGCCACGTTGACCTTTCTGCCTGAGTTGCAGATTTGTGACTTCTGGCTGCTAGTGTGGATTTTATTCAACTGATTTAAAACTTTTTCCTTAAAAAAGAAGTGTCAGTAGTGATTCTTTCGCTTCACACTTTTTAAATGCAGTGAAAAGCCATGTTGCTTATTTACTATTTCAGCCTTAAGTGAGTTGAGCTAGTTTAGGTTAGCTCCATTTTCATCCCCCTAAACATCATGGTAGAATTACATTTTCTATCTTTTATCGTTGTTGCTAAGACATCTATATTTTGAATCCTGCTTGTTAGGACTGGAGACTGCCGCTGTCTTAATGCCCTAGTCTGTAAGCACAGGTAAGACTGAGAATAACTAGAAGTTGTTACTGCTAAGTGACCATTTGACTGCTTTTGAAATAACTGATTTCTGGAGGATGTGTCCCCACTACTGTTAGGATTCTGGTGATACAAGAATGTGAGTGAAATTTATCTGCTAGCAAAAGCTCAGATAGCTGGCAGTTATACTCTTATTTATGCTTGTACTGCTTATTTTGTTGAGAAAATAAAGCCATACCAACAATATTTTTTACATATTTGAGCTGAAGCCAAACAAGTTAGCAGGTACGACTGTACTAACAGACACTTTCAAGTGTGTGCTTGGCTTTGTGCTACTTTCTCGTCTTTTAGGGCACCTGGTTGGGAGGGAGGGGCCGCAGCGAGCTCACAAAGGTTTCCTTGTTCTTGGTTCCGGTGCCTGGTTGCCAGGAACAGCGGTTACCAGGAGTCCCGTGTCTCTGGGCTAGAGCATACTCAGTGCCGAAAGAATACTCGGGATTACAACTACTGGGACTCTGGTGAAGGCTGGTTTTTGTTTGTTTGATTTTTAAACATAGTCTTACCTAGTCTAATTGGAGTTTCTCTAGCAGGGTCGATGTTTGGTGTTTCTGGAAGTAGAAGCAACAACTCCTCTTACGTGATATTTTTCTTCTCTTCAGGTGTTTTGCTGGAATATACGTCGCACATTTATGGCGATTCTGGGTGTGAGGGCAGACTTCTGCCAGGCCCAGCACAGCATCCTGGCTGACAAGTGAGCTGAGTGCTGGCGGTTCTACGTGCCATAATTACTTTGCCTTGAAGACTCCAGACACAGTGAACACGCTCAAATATATGGGATATCTGCACATTGGAAGCATATTCCTTTTACTGACTCTAGCAAAACTAAGCATCAAGAAAACAAAGTGGAGAGAAAATCTGCCCTTACTTTTTTGCCTCACCAGTGCCTAAATGTAGAACAGGCTGCCTAGTCTTGCATGTACTCAGAATTTTTGGAGTCTGAAGGATACCACCTGCAGTAATTGAGGCCGAAGTTGAATTCAAGTGGATTCTGAAGCAAACCTGCTTTTCTAGAAGTGAATTCTTTAAGGAACAAACACGTCAAAGCAAGCTCTGATCAATCCCAGGCATTTTAGTGGTCTTTTTAATGTTTTCTGCTGTGAAACGTTTCCAAGGTTATTGATTTCTTTTTTTTTTTAATTTTTTTTGGCCCCTTACACATTTTGTTTGCCATTATGAACCGTCCAGCCCCCGTGGAAATTACTTACGAGAACATGCGTTTCCTGATCACTCACAACCCAACCAATGCAACCCTCAGCAAGTTCATAGAGGTAAGGCAGCCAAATAAAGTATCATGCTTCTTTCCTTGTATACTCATAGTTTCTGCAGAAGTCCTGAACAGTCATTCTCCACACCTGTTGCTCAATGCTTTGGCTGTGTGTTACATGTTACTCAAAACGTAAGGCACTTTTATCTGTAATATATTGTTCACATTCTCTTGACAGTATGAGAAGAGAATCCACCGATTACTTTTTCCAAACTCCTGCATTTCTTTAATTGTGAGAGGCTGGATGAGCTTCCATTTTAGAATACAAACACCCAGCCTTGCCTTCGTTCTAGTGCTGGTTTCTGCAGGACTGCACATTCTGCGATTCTAAATGTTTTCGTTAAATAACGCAATGCTTCTGATACATGTCAGTGGGTTGCTTGTGTTTTGGCTTTTAAAGAAGTAGTTAACAGAATTGTAACTGGTTTCTAATCTTTCTTATCCCTTAGAGTAGAATTAAGTGCAATACTTAAACTGATGTTTTAGTTTACAGGATGTGTTATCAAACTGCTCCACTGATCCCAGAATTGTCAGAGATTTCAGGTGCCAGAATTTATCCCTGAAAAATGATGTCTGCCTGGGTCGAGCTATGGGAAGAGTCAGTTGCGATGGGCAGTGGGTCAGATGGTTAATGACACAAGAAGATCTTAAATACTGCAAAATTTCATATTCAGTTTTCTGAAGAAGTAACAGATGGTGTCATCAGAGTAGTAGTAGTGCGGTGTATTTCTGCATTCTGGTTTGCTCCAAGCCTGCTGTATCTTTGTGCCCTTGTACCTTTATATCTAGAGGACTTTTTATCTTGCGTGTGCGGGTCTGTGCCATTCCAGAGAGATCTTGTCATCTGATACTGATGTCTGACTGTGGCTATTAACAGACTTCCATCATTCAGCAGTGTGCTCTGCACCATGAGTGTGCTCAGATATTAGTGGTTAATTTTGCATGAAAGCCACATTCTTTTGGTCTTTATATTCCCTCCCCCCCCAGTTGTGGATTGTCTTCCTTTTTCAGGAGTCTTGACTCTGGAATAGATATTATTGCTAATTGTTAGAAGTTGCAGTGATACAGTGATTCAGTCCAAACACGAGAGGAAATTCTGCTTGCTGTATGAACCTTCGAAGTGAACTGGAACAGCTTTTGTTTGATCTTCTGATTATTTATCTAGCACAATGTGCTACTTATAGTACATTACAAGGAAGCTAGAGTATGGTGGTGTGTGTGTTCTGTTCCTCCCTGCCTCAAAATGTCAGCACTGGCTCAAGCAAACAGTTCCAGGCTTCTATTTAAAGAGAAGAAGCTGTATGGAGAATATAAGCAGCTATTTTAATTTTGCTCTTCTATATGCATTTTTTTTCCACCTTGGCATTTCCCTAGAGAAGAATTCAGAGGTGTGTTCCACATTTACTCCTGTCACTTGTAACACTTGTCCTAATGTAGGCCATAAACCCCCCTTTCTGTGTTGGCCCTTGCTCCGTCGTTGTGTAGTCACTTTGGAGCTGTGCAATAGTCACGGTACCGCTGAGTCTGTAAATGTTTGGTTTTGTAGCTGATGAGAAAGTTCTTTAATTCTTCACTCTGTCAGTGTGATCACCTGTTTTGCTTTTTCTTAAAGGAGCTGAAGAAGTACGGAGTGACAACCCTGGTGCGAGTTTGTGATGCCACTTATGATCAAGCTCCTATTGAAAAAGAAGGAATCCAGGTTCTAGTGAGTTGCCTTTAAAACTGTCTAAAGATGAAAAATCACTTGTCTGGGGGTGGTGGGGATGGCCGTCATGCTCTAGCGCAAGCGCTGATGACTGTTTCAGATTGGCTAAAAGCAATCTGATTCCTTGCATCAGATAAAGCTGTTTTGAGAAACTACTGTACTTTTGTGACAGGTACTTGCTGATTCATTACTGTTGCCTGAGTGCTTAGAAATGTCTGTTCCTGGATTTCTGGATTTTTTGAGATATTTTGGTTGCTTTTTAGTGACTAGACTGATACTAATCCAGTGTTCAGCCTTGCGATTCATACAACTCGGTTTGGCCCTTTTCTCTAGATACAGCACTTCTTGGCTTTACTGTTGAGTTTCTCAGGATGCAGATAAAAAGCTCCTTTCTCTTCCTCGTTCAAAAAGTACCACCTTTGAAGACTATAGCTGATGTGTTGATCTGGGCTTCCCTGAACTGGCTGTAGCAGGATATTGATTGATAGCCTCATCACAGCTTGCCTCTAAATGGAGCCTGGCTGCTGGTGGCTTCCCTATTCAGCAGGTGGAATTCCTTAACTGCTGCTCATAGTTAACGTTATGCAATGGCTGTCTGTGTCGTCTAGTGTTGCTTGGTGTTTTAGGGGAGGTTTTTTTAATAGGTGTGTGCTCATACTAAGCTTGCAGGCGGTATTTTTCCAGGCAGTACTTCTGAGTTATTATAGTGTGTCAGATATAATCAGTTTATTTTACTGGAATGAGTATTACTCAGTTGTGAGGCCAGAAATTGCATCTTACCTTCTTATTGCAGGTAGTCAGTCTTCTGTTGCATCTTGATTTTTATGGCTCAGTCAGAGGAAAACTTCTGCAGTTTTCCGTTAAGAGGAAAACTTATATCCTGGCATATCTGTGAAAACTCCACATACAGGTCAGTCAGGTTCCTTGGCTTCTGGCCCTAGTAAGCATTTACTCCAGTTCAGCTGCCTTGCACTAGAGCATCACAGTGTTTTCGGGCGTGCTGCTGTGAGACCTCTAGCTGCAATACTCCTAAGGTTGCCAGAGACTAGAAGGATTAAACTTCTGGTGTGGAAGCCCTCAGAGCCCTATTTAAGCTGGGGCTTAGAGTATTTCTGTGTTCTGTGCCAGAGTGGAGATCTGAGTTCTATGTAGAAGGGTATGGACAGTTTTGCCCGTGTCCAGCTGTGCCAGGGTGGCTGCCCTGTGAGCCCAACTGACCTTGGCTCCTGCAACTGAGTGAAATCCCCCTTTTCTAGCCCATGGCCAGGGCCCCCGGGGCAGCTGCAGGAGCTGGGGAGTGCTCAGTGCTCTGGAGCCTGCACTTCTGAAATAGTTAGGGGATTTTGGTTCTCAAGAAACTTTAGAAACTTGGTGTTGGCAAGGTTTGAACTGAAAGCAGTTTTTTGAGGAAGCTTTTCTAAAAACTGGAAATAGTGTTTCCGCCAGCTCTGCTAAGCACCATTCTGTTGGAGAGCGTTTCACTTTGAGTAACACATGCGAGTCTTGTGTCTGTACACATTTGCCTCGGCTAACAAGCCTCTCTGTGTTTGGTACGTACCACTTCTTGGTATTCCACTGCTGCAGAAGGCAGAACAGGAGAGAGCATCAATCCACCAGGCATCTGTTAAGGGTAACAGAAAGCAGGAGGTGACAGGGAAGGCTTGCTGCTAATGTTATCGCTGATCCTGATGATCCCAGTCATGAGGCTGACTTGCTAATTTACTGTATTGCAATAGTGTTTTGCTATTTGACATAAGTTTAACTAGTCACCAACATGACAACCTCCTATATAGCTTTTCCTTCCTATGAACGCATGCTTTTTCAAAGCGAAGTCTTGTTGCTGTTCAGAAATGGTATTGAATTACCATGTGGCTGAGAAAATAACACGTCACTATTTAAAGCTAATACTTGCTTGCAAAAATAACATTAAGATTAAAAACACAGCCTGAGAGATTGGTGTCTATTTTAAATCTGTTGAGGTGAAAAGCATAGGTAAACCTCTGAAAATGAGAGCATTTCAGCAATGCCTGCTCTCATGCCGTGCTACTGGATCATGTACTAGCAAGATGGGTAGAATGTGGCAGCTAGAGAGTGGCTTTGGCATATGGCATAGTGAGAAAGTAGAGAATTAGATGTTCCATGTTTGAAGTAGTACTATTGCATGTGTGTGTTTATCAACAGAGATTAAATCCAGGAGACAGGAGGCGGGGATGGATTTAGTTTCTGTGGGCTTCTGCAGTTCTTATGGTTATGTTCATGTGTAAGGTCTTGTAACATAGAAATGTTACGTCAGAAAAACTGGTAGTGTGTTTCTGGAAGTATTTTTGCACTGGCTGGCAACCAAGGAGGCTGTGGTAGTTTTGTTCATCTTCAGGATCTAAGACACATTTCATTGTTCCCCTTCTATGTCCTTCATTTACTGTTCATCAGAGTTTCTTTACACTGTGCCCTCCAGAATGGCCACCACCTGAATGCTGGCAGGTGGTCGGGAGTGGCCGTGCTGGAGATGTGCCCTCCTTGCCATCTGATACTTACTGCATCGCCAAGGGCTCTGGTGTTGAAGGTGAGGAGGCACCATGCAGGTGGCTGCAGTCTCATCCCGTGCAGACGCAGGCAGTTCTGGGAGCGTTTTGCTGCCGTCGCTTCAGTGTGAGCTGCACATGGGTTTTGAAGAAAGGGATCTTTGTCACCTTAAAGTCGTGTTACTGCTGCTTGTTCATCTTAGTTCTGCATTGCCAATCCTGCAGTCGTTGCTGACTGACAAACCCAGAGCTGTTCTTCTGAGCAAGGCTACTCCAGGTAAAGGGTAGATAAGAATAACTCTTTCTTGCCTATCATCCTTCCCATCTACTGCAGGGTGGCATGAAAGAGCTGTATTTTCTGTTTGTGCAATCTCAGTGCATCGTCCTGGCTGTTAATGACTGTTTTGGTCTTGGAGCTTAGCAACTTGGTTTTGATCCTGTCTGACAGGAATTTGGAGGTGATGCTGGCAGAACTCATCATCAGGGAAAAAAACCTGCAGAACTTTGCTGCAGTTACTCTTTTAGTCCCAGAATTACTCTTGTTCCTCGTTCGGGGCAGTGTCCCGTGCAGCAGTGTTGTATCAGTGCTGATTTATATGTCAGTGGTGTTCTAATCGTGAGAAGGTGATGCTCTGTGGGGAAAGGACAATTGTTGTTAATTCAGGCCAGCACAAGAGGTGCGTGGACACAGTGGTTAATGTGTAAGCTAAAGCAGTGTAGTAACTTCCTGTATTGGGTCTGAAGGAAAGGATTTAATTTAATCCAAAACTGGGACACAGAACTGACCTGTAAATCCTGTTCTTCGCAAGGCAGTTTCAAAAGAAAGCATCTTGCCACTGGGTAATGCCTCTTCTCTTGGCAGCCCTTACATCTCCTCCAGGGTCAGTGGATGACACTTGGCCTAAAATAATACAGCTAACAGTGTGTGATTGAGTGGAAAATCTCGTAAAAACCTTTTATTAGAAAGATCAAGTTTTACTTTATGATCTTGTTTCTATAGCCTTTTATATTGCTGTGTTGCCCAAGATATTTTTAATTTCCCATTTGCTTTAAAAAAGGAGTTCTCTGCAGTCTTCAGATTTTGTGTATCTTTCTCAATTAATCACGTATAAAGTTATTTCAGTAACTTAAAGCTTTTTGGTTTTGTAGTTTGAGACACAGATTTCCGCCTTGCAGCTTAAGTGCTAACACATTTATAAGGCACTCTTGGGCTGAGGTCTTGTGCTGAGCTGTGCTTGCTATTCAGGAAGTATTAGGGTAGCAATAAGCACATTTCAAAATGAAAAGTCTGGCGGATTTTTACCTTTGGTTGTATTTGTTCAGAGTTTCTGCGTGCTTCTTTCTGGCTTCAGAGACTGACTTCATGTTAACCTGTTCTCAAGATACTGCATGAAAGACTTGTTTCTAGCCGATGAGGGAAGAGGAGGCCTCCTTTCAAAGCAATTTCCCTACTATTTGGAGAGGTTGTTGAATAATACGAGACTCTGGCTACTAGTCTCTCTTGTAAAATGCATTGCAGCAGTCTAATGAAAAGTGCCAAATAGCTACTAATAATTATTTTTTCCCTTGCATGTAGGAGTCCTCTTTCTACAGCACTCTCTGTATCTGAGAAGATTATAGAGCATGTGATGTTGTGCTTGGTCCTGAAATGTAGGACATGTAGTACTCTGCTTAGCACAAGTTCCAGGAGAGAGCTATGACCTCTGGAAAATGGGAAGCCTCCGACATGCGAGTTTGACTGACAGTCATGTTGATGATATTAAATGTGGCCTAGGTAGTTTAGATGTTGGCTACCCCTTTAGTAGGCAGAAATGTAATTGTAAATGCTGCTCAGTTGTTGACTCGGCCTTTGTCTAAGCACTCTTCTTTTTTTGCTTGTGAATGTGGTTTTTGGACTTGAAAAGACCCGGGTAATTTTAACTGTCTTTCTTCTGGATTCATGGAAGCTGGACAAGCTGATGCATTCGAGTTGTTGTGAAGTACCTTCTCCTCTGCCGATCCCCTTGAATTGTTATGAAGTAGCTTCTCCTTTGTACAGAGTCTGCAGTACAAATAGTGTCTTAAAAGGTTGACACGACCACAGGCAGTAGTCTACAGAGTTCTCATCTTTCAAATGTTTATTTGAAATGTCCATTGATTTTTACATGTTTTTAATAAAATGAGATTTCAAGGGCAGCTATTTTTCTAAAAATTCTGTATTACAAAGGAGGCAGTGTAGAGTTTTATTGCAATTTTATTGAAAAGTGCAATTAAAGGATTGTTAAACACTTAGTGTTGCATTATGATATTGACTTGCACGCTTCTGTGCAACTGGAAGAATACCCACAGCACTGTGTGTGTAATCCACATTTCTTGCTGGATGGAAAGTTTGGCTTCTCCTAGGTATGGTTACCTCGCTGTTGGTGATGGACTGAAAGCCATATTGTTAATGTCCTTTTTTCCTTCAAAGGACTGGCCGTTTGATGATGGAGCACCACCCCCGAATCAGATAGTTGACGACTGGCTAAACCTGTTGAAAACCAAATTTCGTGAAGAGCCTGGATGCTGTGTCGCTGTTCACTGTGTTGCAGGGTTGGGAAGGTTTGTATTCTGCTGTCTTGTTTTCATATTGAACTTAGTTTATTGGCTTGGGAGGCAGGTCGTGGAAGGTGTTAAGTAAATGCCAGTTGCTCTGTTTTCTTCCCAAATAACACTTTAAAGCAGCAGCATCAAGTTTGTGTTGTTAAAGCACAAGAGACTTATTGCAGCTTCAAAATCTTCAGCAATTTCATAACTCTGATCAAGGATGAGAGGAAAAACTTGGAGAGATTGTTCAGAACACTTCTGTCAATCATGAATGCCAGGAGCAGTTAGAGATGGTATTAATTTGAAAGTATGTATCTGCTAAAACAAGAAAATCTTGTGTTTCTTGAGAAATGCAGTATACACCTATAGTACAATTTCTAAGGCTGTACAGTTGGGCTTTTTATATCCTCCTGTTTTCAACTGGTGTACTGTTAAGCATGTAGTAATAAAAAAAAAAAAGGCATTTAGAAGAACTGTTTCAATTACTTTCTCACTCTAAAGTGGCTGAAGCCATCAGTGGTGAGAAGAGTTAGGCTTGTATTTCTTGCTCACATGCAGACTGATGTTTCTCTCCTCACCGCTCAAAATCTGACTTCCTTCTTTGGGAAGAACTTCCTTTCAAGATGAAATAAAAAAAAGGCTGATTCGGGAAAGCTAAATACTACATTTATATTCCCAAATGTAATTGCTGAATGTTATGTTTATTCTACGGGCTAGGAGGAAATGGAGCTGAAGTGTCAGGATTCTTACAAGAACCATGGGACTGTTAATATTTAAGGGTAGGAATGAGTGGGCAAGAAACGTGGATTGAAGAAGTCAAGCAAGTCAAGTTGGAGCCTATCAAGCTCTTAAAATTCTACCTCTAGAGAAGGAGAGATGGGGGAAATTAAGAGGTAGAGGGAGAAACGGCCAATCTTTAAAGACACAAGAGCCAAAACCTCAAGGCAATTAGCATTTGTTTATCCATTTCTGCTCTATTTTTATCTGAGGAACATCTCTAGGAAGGTGGCCACGTGTAACTCGAGTGATTTTCAACTCTCCTGTTTCTTGCATAATACTGGGCCAAAGGGTACCAGAAGCTTCCCGTGTTCTGTGTGTCACGCACGCTCGTGTCCATTCCTTACAGAATAACCTTTTTGCTGTTGTTCTCGCACTACTTTTGGCAGAGGGAAAAACAAGAGCTTTACAGATTTTGCTTTAATGTGGCAAACTGTCTGTCTGTCTGTAGTAGGGAATTGAACTTCAACTGTAGTAAAAAGAGGCAGCTTTTTTTTTGAAAGTGACTGAGGTTTCAAATAGTTTTCTTTGGAAACTGAATAATTCTGTTTATGCAGGTGCAGCATGGCGGTGATAGTGAGAGTTGTTTCTGCTGAACAGTGTTTTTGTTTAGACATGTTGAACCGTGTTTTTGTTTAGCCATGAGTGGAATTTTTCCAGTTGCTAGCACCTGTTTAATCCTTTACTGCTCCACTGCCAGAGGTGCCTGTTGCAACTGCGTGTGTTCAGTGGGGTGAGCATCAGTCCGGGAGAGAGTCAGCGTGTACTGTGGTTTCCGCTTGTTTGAGAAGCCAGCTCTTTACACGTAACCAGTTTCCAAAATGTGGACCCTGAAGTAGGTAGTTATACTCTGTTGTCCCTGGAATGCCCAGTTCCGTGCACAGCACATAATTAAAAAAAATTAAGATCTGTGCAACTCATCTGCTCGGTGCTTCATAGATCTCTCGCGTATGGCTAAATCTACAGTGTCATAAGAAGCAAAATGCATGCAAGAGGTATTACACGCTTGTTTTAGCAAAGCAGAAAAATAGGTTATAGTGAAATGAGACAGTGTAAAAGTCTAGAGTTATCGTTTCATGCCCCAAACACTAAGGAGCTATTGGTTTTTATGGTTTTGGTATGTGTGCTGGAAGCAGAGCTGCCTCCTAAAACAAATTTTGCATTAAGTATTCAGCAGGCAAATGTCTTTCTGTAGATAATGCTTAAAGAGAAAATACTTAAGCTATGTGTTTAGAGATCAGTTTGCTGTGTTTTAAGGGGTTCAATGTATTGTTTCTCCAGATCTTCCTTACGTATTGATTTCTCCTTTAGGGCTCCTGTCCTGGTTGCACTTGCGCTCATTGAATGTGGAATGAAGTACGAAGATGCAGTTCAGTTTATAAGGCAGTAAGTTAAGCTTCCCCGTTCCCAAGAAATCTCTCAGTTTATGTTGTATTTGAACAGCATGTGTCTTCAGCAAGGTTTGTTAGATTTCTGATTTGTTTTCTAGTAGCTATATTCAGACAATTCAGACTGACATTAATGCTGAGGCTTGTGCCCTTTCCTCTGTTTAGAGATGGGGATTAAAAAGTGATCTTTCCTTTTTTTTTAATCTTAGCTTATCTATAAAGCCATTGATCTAAGATTCTGAACTTGGGGGTGGGAGGGGGGAGGATGAGGACTCTAGGCTGGGACTGTAAAAATCACAAATGAATTCGACATGGACTAATTACTCCTAATTTAAAAAAAAATTAAAAAATCTAGTGAGGTTGGGCCCCCAAGCAGAATTTCTGCAGCAAGTTGGTGAGCACCAGCACTCCTGCAGGTGTTGTGGGTGAGTGCGTTATCCACCCAGGAAATGTCAGAAACCACCTGTCTGGAAAATAACAAAACTGGGAAGAGATGAAACTGCAGAGCTCTGTTGGTTTAGTGGTAACATCAGATCTTGAAATGAAGCCCAGCAGGTGGGATCGTTGAATGAGCTCTGCCAAAAAAGCAATTCATCCCTTTATGGATTCCCAGGGTCTTTCGTTGTCTTTGTAAACTGTATAGCTGTCAACAGATATTTCTGAATTTTTCCTTGCTTAAATTTCTTTTTTCTCTTCCTGGATATGGTACCTTTTATACTAAGAAGCCCTTTTCTGAGAACCTCTGTATATTTGTATCTGAATGTCATGCTCTTTTATTTACTGGCTAGTGTAATAAGTAGCACATGCATCTGCAAGGAAAGGGTGACCTTGATGTTGTTCAGTGACTGCTGCTGGTAATGAAAATAAACTCTCCCCATCTAAGAAAACATGCTGAAATTTTCGAACTGAATTTTGATTTCAATGTTGGCATGTAGGTGCTGAACTGCATGTGCTGGTCTGGTTTATCCTTCCTCAAAGTGTCAGTGGATAAGGAACTAAGACAAAATGCTGTTTTATAGATAGAGAAAAGCTTTGAAATGAGGACTGAGCTGCCTTAGAATGTGTGTGGTGATGGAAGCAGTACTTTTTCCATTGATATTAGCCTTCATTCTCTTTGTTGTAGGAAAAGGAGGGGAGCTTTCAATTCCAAACAGCTGCTTTACCTTGAGAAATACCGACCTAAGATGCGATTACGCTTCAAAGATGCCAACGGTCACTGCTGTGTTCAATAAAATAAAAATCTCAAACGAAGGCGGAAGTTAGCATGGCTGTTTTCTGGACTCTTGGCACCTGGAAATGTGAATCTGGAATCAAACTACGTCATCAAATTAGTGGTGGAGTCAGTGCTCCTCAACCTCTGTCCTAATGGTGGTGATGATTGAAAAAAATAAAAATAAAAAAAAAAAATTAAGAGAAACATTTCAGTGAAGGATTGTTTTCTCCTTAAGCTGCAGTTTGAACATCTGCAAGGAGAAAATCAGTTTCTGAACCTTCTGTATTTTTAACTTTTTAAGAAAAGAAATAAAGTAAATTTTATGTCTAAGGAAAACCAGCAGAGCATTGGCTTGTGCAGAACCTATTTTCTTGAGTTAAGTACCCCACAGTTAGGGCCTGATGTGTTAATTCCTATGGGACTCTCTTAAATGGAGTTGCCTTTTTTTTAACCTTGCTGGGACCTGGCAGAGAGACTTGAGGAGGAGCCTTTGTTGCTGTGTGGGAGCAGTCTGACAGCCTTAAGCCCACGCTGGGCGTGTTCTGGAGATTTGGTGGTGTCTGTGTTGTATGTCTACATGGTGTGCAGACTCTGCAGGTGTGAAAAAGCTGCCTGGCAGGCTTGAACAGAAGACTCACTGCCTAATATCTGCGGTGAATCTGCTAAAGGCTTTTTCTGATTGGTGGGAGGTAGTGCTTTTAACTGTGTGAGCGTGTGTGTGTATGCAGGTGTGTGTGATTTTATGGGTGCATGTCAGTCTTATTTTTCCAAAGAATTTGGCTGAAATGTTAATTGTCTTTTTGTTGCTAGATAGAAAATCTATCCCGGCAGAAGACTGATGTTCAAAAGTGTCCTAGGTGAGCAAGGGGCAATTCAGGCAAGGACTTAAATTAATTTTATCTGTCATAAGGAAGAAGAAAAGGCTCTTTGCTGCTGTCCAGATTCTCTGCCTTGCTGAACACAGTAAATCAGGATTTGGGGGGGAGGGTCTCTTTGAATTGTATATGAGGTAGAGATGGTACACGCACAGAAATGCGGTCCATCAATAAATGCCTTATATGGGTATTTTCCCAGGCTAGCCCTCATGTACAGTTCAGTTGAACCACTGATTGCCTTGTTATTTTTTATTAGGCTCTTTTGGAGGGAGAGTATCTAGTCACACACCAGCATGCCTATTGTATTCACCGTTGGCAGACCATAAATATGCTGATTTTTGGAGTGTGGACTGGCACCACATTCGCTGTAGGGCCATTGGTGGTGTCAGTGAATTAATCAAGACAAGTAGTTTTACAGCCTCTGATGAGCAATTTCAACCGGGCTACTTCTACCAAACACGTTACCTTAGTGCCCTGCCCTAGGGGTGACCTCACAGGCTTTCAACTTGACATTTTATCTGTAACGTTCAGTTGCTGAAGGCTTTGAATACAGGTCTAGGGTCATAACGCTCCTGTGATCTTTTGCTGTGAGGCACCAAAGGCTTTTGTTGGTCTGTGCCTGTAGAAGGTGTAGACTGGTATCCGTCTCTTACCGATACCTCAGCTGCTGGCGATGGGAACTGACTTCACAGGACTCCTTCCTGTTCTAGACTTCTGTTTTTAGTCTGCAGCTTAACTCTGCAACCATTTTCAGAACACAGGTTCCCTTCCTGAAAGGGATTTACAAATCTAACCAGAAAATCGTGGTACTTGTCAAGCCCCTCGCTTCACAGATGAGCCAACGGTCCTGTTTGAGGTCCACGGCCAGAGAGCAGCGCACTCCACGAAACTCGGTCTGTACCCTGACTCAAGCTGTATTGCTGTACTGAGTTCCTTCCTCCCTTTAAGATGTGTAGCGTTTCTGATTTCTTTAATAGATAAAGGAGATGTGAAAGTGTTTGTGATGTCATTGCCTACGTTAGGGCAATAACATATCTGGTAATGCTGGAGTCCGTGTGGAAGGTAGATGATGCTGAAATTATCCAGTTCTGGCCTTTACCTTCCCCTTGCAAACTAGAAGCCTAGTGTTCCGTTTCTGCAAATTGAAATTGATGTTTTTAGTAATATGAAATATTGGTAGTTAAAGCCGGTTTGACAAATGGTGGAAGTCAGATTGGAGGGGAAGGTGTTGAGCTGGATTAAAAACCAAACCCCGAGCCCTTCTGAAGAACAATAAAAAAAAAAAAAAATTTACATGCTATATGTATAACTTTGCATTCTTGCCCCTAGTTTTACTCTTGATTTATAATGTACTAATTACCATATACTATGACTCTGCAGCCTTAATTGAGGAAAAATAGCTAAAAGTGCAGACTGTCAGACAGCGTAGACACGGACGGGGGGAGTGTAATTGTGACCGATGTCCAGTAGGCACAATAGTTGGGTCAGCACTTGAACGTAGTGCAATAAAGTTCTTGCAGTAAAATGTCTCTTCCCTCTGGTTCTTGATGAATTTATTGCAGCTCATTAACGTTAAGTGCTCTTCTTTAATCTGATTTGTAAAGGCCTTTGGACAATCTGTCCATGCCCCTTGTGTTACTAATCGCTCCTGGGTACTGCGTGGCTTGGGTTTGCTGGTGGGAAAGGCTGTTCTGCCGCTGAGAAGAGGGAGCAGTGCTGCGGACAGGAACAGTTCTCTTCCCTTTAAATTACCAGTTCAAAAATGTGTAAACTTACCTTTACAGGAAGAAAACAAACCCCCAAACAACAGCTCCGAACGAGAACTGTCAAAGATCTGTTGCAAAACTTTCTGTTGTGCCCTGGACAAGACGAGACGCCGTGCCACCTGGCAGAGCCTGAACGGGGCTGTTGTCCGGGGCAACAGTGAGCAGGTTGCCAGAGTCCTGGGGCCCGGTCAGTTCCCCTGCCTTGGTGGTGGAGTGCCACAGCCTTCATTTGTAGAATTTATTTAAATAATACTAAGGTGCTATTTTTCTGGGCTTCGCAGATAACAATCCAATCAGCTCTGCTTTGCTGCCACCAAAGAAATATGTTACTTGCAAATTGGTATCGTGTTTCTAATATTTATCAGATTTTTCCCACTAGTGCACTAGAACAAGTTTTTAGTCCCTGTTGGCAATGAGATAATAAGCCACTTTGACCGTGAGACGGGCAGCGGTGGCTGTGAAGTTCCATCTCCCCTTTCGGTGAGGATGTCTTTGTGTATTATTTTTTTAACACCGAACTCTTGCTTTGTTTTGCAAAGCTGCTACCTTTTTTGTCACCATGCACCAATGTGAAATGTCTTGCTAATCAAAGGCTGCTCGGTATAAAAAAATGTCATGCAATAGAGATATTCCTGTATGATACAAGTCACTTGTTTCTCTTGTTAATTTTTTTCACTGACATCTAGGCAACTTGAGATACTGATACTTGAAAAGGAGATAGCGCTTAATCCCGCACATATTTATATCACTTAAGATGCTACTTTTGGAGCAATTCAGAATGATAAGCAGGGTGGAGTGACTCTGCGTGGGGAAAGAAACTGTAGGAATCATGGTTTGCACTTCCGTAATAGTGTATGTTCTTTTAACTAAAAAATTATAAATCATTCAACTTGGTCTTAACACGGATCAATTCCAGAGAGCGTTTGAAGTACGTGTTTCTTGGAGGAGGGGAAGAATAGCTTTTTGTCAGTAAACAGATCTTGCAGTGAAGTGTTAAGGTTACTGTTGAGCCTGTTGGCTCTCTAGATGTGCGTAGGGCCACTGCTCCAGACAGCAGCCTTCCTGCGCGTGCTGAGGATGGCCGGAGCCTTGGCTTTGGGTTGTGGCGTTCCCTGGCAAAGGCAGAGAGGCTGCTTGGACTGAGGCACTTGGAGCACTCGGTTATTTGCAGCCAGGCTCCATAGTAAGTTGTCAGGCTGGGGTAAGTGGAGCGCTGTGTTCATCTGTCTGTCCTGGAGGCCGGCGTGGCTGCAGAGGTGTGAAGCCAGAGGTGTTGGGCAGTCCCTTGGCTCTGCTGTGAAAATGGAGATGACGAGCAGCCCTCTCCAGAGCTGGGTTTATGTGATGAAGTCCCAAAGGGCCATAACAATTAATGCTTTTCACAGGTTTGTCTGGAACACCTCTTATTTTGGGCTGTCCAAGGGCTACGTAGACATTGTTACCTTGATAGTCCAATGTTAAATCTGTGTATCCCCATTTTGCAAAAACTGAAGCATGGAGCTAAATCTTGGGACCTTCTCTTGTTCTGACTGGTTCATCAGAACTGACATCACTTCATTCATTGCTGTTGGTGATTTAAGTGAAGTCTTAACTGTTTTTTATGCCATATATTTAGTCTAGATCCTGCTACTACTGATTGATGGCACAACACCAAAAAGAGAACTAGGCTACCTCACAGAGTTACTGACTGACAAAGCTGTCGGTGCAGTTGCAGAAAATTGCTTATGTACCACCCAGGGCAGGAACTCCACTCCTCTGCAGACCCCTGAGCAGATCCTGGTTTCAGGGATGTGGTTGGTACCAGGTAACCGAGCACGTTGCGGGGGTAGTGGTGTGACTGGCAAGGAGCTTGCCTCCTGAACAAGCAACGGTGGGTGAGGCTTAGAGGCTGCTCAAGAAGCTGCTGTATTTTGGCAGTGGCTGCAGCAATACTGGCAGGATAGCTAGAATTTGTGGTGGCTATCTCTGTGCGCTTTCTTACAGGACTTAACTCTTAGATGGAGGCAAACGAGGGACACCGGGAGCCAACGCCAGAGGAAGATTCCTGATCCAAATCTGTGGATGGATTAGAAGAGCTCAAAGGGAGGAAAAGAACCAGGTAAGGAATCGCTGCTTCTCTGTCCGGCAAGGGAAACTGAAAGCACTGCGGAATAACGTGGCTCCGTTGGGGCTGCACTAAGTCAAGAGCGGGAGCAAAGCTGGTCGCAGGATGCGGGACATCCTCGGTGGTTTCTGAAGCCGCTTCCCAGGGAAGTGAGGCTGAATGCTGATGACTGGAGTCCTTTGCTGAAGCCATTCTCTCGCTGACAAGCACCCCGAGGGGATGCACATGCAGTGGTTGGAGGATAGGATGTTGTGAAAGGCCCCCTGCTCCCAGCAAAGCGGGGAGGCTGGGGCTACTAACATCTGCAGTGTTTTGCAGAGAATGGAGAGCACAGTGTGAACCCCTGGCTGAAATAATATTCAGAAAGGCCTTGGGTTGTCTTTGGCAAGGCTGTGCCTGTGGAGCT